GCCGTGGCCAAAGGTGCCAAATCCTAACATGGACATGGGACGACGTCTCATCTTTGTGCTGGACTGAAAAATGTACCATTACCTGCATAAAAAAAAAAAAGGTTTATTAATGGAGCTTGACGGATGTAACATTTTGGTTTGGTTTGAATAATGCCAGTGAATAACCATATTGTAACAGGGTTGAGATTCACCATACATATGCCATTACTTGTCTGTCTAATTACACCATAGCATGGCACTTTCTTATTATTTGTGTAAATATATTGATGAATGATTATAGTAAAGGTGCAGCTCAATTTTCTGTAAATTCTAATTTAGTTTGCACCAAGTTCACATTTACATTAAGTAAATAATATCTTCCTAAAAGTGCAGTTGTGGCTTTGTAACTGTCTGTACTTGACTCCAAGAATTGTAAAGAAAGTGTTATTGGTGAAGTGGGAGGTGTAGATTGTTATACCAAACAGTGACAGTGCCATAATGCTGGTAGCAGATAAGCCCAGCTGCTGCTGAGGAGGTGAGGAGAGAGGGGTTGATTTTCAGTTCTTCTGAATACTACTTTGAATTAAGGGACGCAACACTCAATGAAGATGGATACCCTTTGCCATTTACCTGGTTCTGCATATGAAGAATTGTTTTTCCATCTTGTTTAATAAAATGCTTTTGAACTGAGATTTGGGTCCTCTGGAAATTATTGTCGAGCCTTTCAGAGAGTGCTAATCGCGTCAGAAACAATCAAACAAAGTGACATACACAGGGTTCCCGCGGGGTCTTAAAAAGTCTTAAATTTGATAATCTGAATTTAAGGCCTTAAAAAGGTCTTAAATATGACCACAAAAATAAGAAAGGTCTTAAATATGATTTAGAAGGTCTTAAAAATGATCGGATTTGAAAGGTACTTCTGTGTTGCGATCGCTTCTAAAATGTGTTTTGGGGAAAATGTCCGGGCTGCAAAGTAACCAGTACGGTAATAGCCTTTCAGTTCCCCCCAACAATTTTTATTGAAGTAAATCAACATGGAACCTGTAATCACTAACTTTGTTTCCCCCGGCCCCTTATCGGAGAACACCCAGCTAGCAACCAAGCTTCAGCTAGCGGCAGTCAGAAACTCATGTCTCTTCGAATCTACTTACAAATAAATATGGGGAAGTGTAAGTTCAACCGTATTTGGTTGGAAAACATCTAATTTAGTGTTTGGTTGAAACCAGTGGTTTATTGACCAACGATTATGTTGGTCAATAATTAATATCACGATTATTAAATACGATTATTCATTGACTTTTAAAACATCCATTTATTGAACTTTAAAACAAATAATAATTTGAACAGTATTCTTTTAACTGTTGATTACCCTGAACGTATAATTCAACTGAAAAAGCAATACAAAAATTAATTAAACAAATGATATATTTAAATAAATAATATCAAAATAATAAATACCAATAAACAAGATCAACAAATATTTGAGCGCACTTCCACAAGCTACTAAACATATATAAATATGATAAATAAATATAAATTAGACTCAAATTAATTAGATTAAATATGTTGTCACTGTCACAACCTAGCAAAGCTAAATAATTGTTTTTTTCGATTATGCTGTTTTTGTAATTGTGGCAGGCCAAAATCGTAGTCGCGATTAAAATACGATTAATTGCACAGCCCGAACACACACAAGCACACAGAGACACACACACACACACACACCTTTTGGCTAACACAGTTCTGTACTGTTATGCTGTTATGTTCAGTCATTGTTCTTATGTTGAACATTAATACATTTATTTTGTAAGTAATTATGGGACGTATTTCTTCTTTCATAGCAATTTTCCTTCATACTTTCTTGCCGTGAAATAGGTCTTAAATTCTATTCAAAGTGGTCTTAAAAAGGTCTTAAAAAGTCTTAAATTTGAGTAATCTGAATTTAAGGCCTTAAAAAGGTCTTAAATATGACCACAAAAATAAGAAAGGTCTTAAATATGATTTAGAAGGTCTTAAAAATGATCGGATTTGAAAGGTACTTCTGTGTTGCGATCGCTTCTAAAATGTGTTTTGGGGAAAATGTCCGGGCTGCAAAGTAACAAGTACGGTAATAGCCTTTCAGTTCCCCCCAACAATTTGTATTGAAATAGATCAACATGGAACCAGTAATCAAATTCAAATTCAAAGGGGCTTTATTGGCATGAAAGTTAAATTAACAATGTTGCCAAAGCATTACAATACAAAATAATTAACAACTAATGTTGTTAATTATTTTGTATTGTAATGCTTTGGCAACATTGTTAATTTAACTTTCATGCCAATAAAGCCCCTTTGAATTTGAATTTGATTACTGGTTCCATNAAGAACTGTTAATTTCTCAAAGAGACAAACAAGCCTCTCTTGTGTGTACTGAAAAAGGGAAGAGGACGGGCATTTTTGGAGCAGAGACCAGAAATGTCAGCCTGTGTGTGCGTGTGCGCGTGCGCGTGTGCGTGTGCGTGTGCGTGTGCGTGTGTGTGTGTGTAACCTTACCCACAGCTGAGTGGTAGTGGGATAAGGCTTCGGCCAGCTGACCAGCAGCCAAAAGTTTTCGGCCCATCTCCAAGTGGTGCTCGATCTCGACATGGGTCGCCCCTAAGATACCTGTAACACAAGATGGAGCTTGAAATATATCACTGAAAAGACACGACGACAACATTACAATAGCAGGTTTTCAGTATTCATCTTTTTTTTTTAAATACACAAACAGTCAGACATCAGAACATATTAAACACATGTAAATTCCCCCTCTGTGGGACGAATAAAGGTATTCTGTATTCTGAAAGAACCTATCTGATTACATTCATCAGATGTGTATTCAAAGCCTATTTTGTTTCAAGTGTCCAACCTGCCAAACCGGAATCCTCTCTCTCTCGGGAAAGGCACACTGCTTTATGTCAATATTGGACTTTTATATGATCTTTGGTTCAATGTGATTTTGTAACTAGAATTGTGATGTATTTGTAACTTGCTATATTACCCCAAACAGACGTTCCTGTCAGTTTCTTGTTTTTCAAAATAAATCTTATTTGACAAGAACAATTCCATACATACTCGTTCAGCTTTTGTTTCATATTATTTACATTTTATAATGTCTGTTCCAATGACAACCTAAGTGAGTAAATTGTATACAACTATAAACATCCATAAACTTTTCTTTATGAAGATAATATTAAAATAATAATGATTGATGTATTTATTTACATACCACCTTTTCAAAACTAAGATGATAAAATAAAAAAGTTAATTTAAGGGATATTTAAAAGAAGTCTAAATGTATATAATATTGAGCAAAATTAACTTACATTAAGAGAAAAATACAATAAGTCAAAGAAATTATACTAATAAAAGTTTAGAGAATGCTTTTATATTTTATTAGGTTTAATGAAGGGACTTTAAAAAAGGTAAAAGGAACTCAGTTCACAAATCCTTTGAAAGCAATCTTGATTTAAAAAAAATAATAATTATAAGAGGGAGTTATGAAGGTGTGTTGAGAGAAATAGGAACCCAAACAGAGCCTGTAGTTCCTGGTAACGCCTAACATACTCTTTAACACCTTGTAAACGTGTACATTTTGGCTTTTATAACCTAAATAATGCTCATAATTCAGAAGTGACTGTTATGTGTGCATACAGTATATTGCATACTGTAACCTACAGTAGGCTAGCGAACAGTAAGTGACAGTTTTGGACACTTTAGCGGCTACATACTACATAGAAGCTTGAAACGTACAGAAACGTGTACACTCGTGTTTCTGAATGATTTTGAAGACATGTTAGGCAGTGTAAAGTGAGTTTTACCGTCCAGCTGAATGTCCAGGAGGACACACAGCAGAGAGAGGGAGCACAGGGTCCGCCGACACGACTCCATCCCCGGATACAATCACAGCCTCACACCGGAACCTGCAGAACTCGCACCTCTGCTTTCAAGTCGAGTGAAAACACCCCTTTGCTTCATTGAAACCTGTTAGATTATGTGTTAAATCTCCATCATGTCCCCCTCTGGAACCAGCTACGACGGTGTATTTACGGTCCCGGTGTGACAGTAGTCCGGGTAGGAAGGAAGCACGCAGCTGAAAGGTTCCCCCTTAAAAATTAAGATTCCCCATAATGTCAAGGAGTAAACTGACTTTAGTTGGACTTAAAACACCTCCAGGTAACATGAGGATGCAAAACAGCTGACAGCGGCCAGTACAGTTTGTACACGATAGCTTTCTGCCTCTGAATTCGTCGTCCCCTCCCTTTCTGCCCTACATTTCTCTCATTGGTCCACGCACCGAGATCCGGGTTCGTGTGGAAACGTGGGCCGCTCTGATTGGACAGACTATTTTAACCTGATCCTGCTCCTGCATGGGTCATAAAGGCGGCTAGTGCTGTAACCATGGCTGTAACCAAGTGTCTGTTTAGGATCAATAATTGAGGAAATCGAAAGTTGACTTCGGCTACTAGAAAGTGGATCTCATGTTATTTTTGTTATTTCTATTAATGCTGTTACTTCATGTGTATTTGTATTCTTATTATCCCTTTGTATATTCTCATGTGTAGCCTACTACCTGTGTTTCTCTCTTTAATTCTGTTAGTAGGCCTACATGTAAAAAGTTCAATATTTACCATATTCTTCAATGAAGAATATGGTAAATATTTGTTTAAGGTAACAAAAGTACATTGAAATACTTTAGATAAGTACCTGAAAGTTGTATTTAAATATGTTACAGGACTTCAACAAATATCCTCGGTCAATACAAATCTCATTATTATGACATACTATTTTAGAATGTTGTAACATGTCTCATATATTTGTGACACAACATATTTTAATTATGAAACACAACACAGCATCATATTTTGTCCAACGTTTGTAATTACTTGTAATTTAATGGAAATCTAAATTAATTTTTAGACAGCTGTAAATAACCTAAATAGTAGTAATGTAAACTTACATTTCCAAAAATCTGATTTGATAACCATCTTTTAAAATATCTTTATTTAATTGTGTCACATCAAAATAACTTTGCTATTCTTTTTGAAAAAAGGAAAGGAAAACAGATGCAATCAAAACTTTATTGACTACAGGAACACAAAGTGAAACAGAAATGTTTGGAATAGAACCTTATTATTGTGCGCTATCGTAAAAAAACAAAATAAAGATCACTTTTCCACGACCCTCTTTCACAGGTACTATCTATAAAACTGTACAAAACAACACACATATCTGGATTATAACAGTTTTGACCTTCCCCTTTACACATTTCTAGAAATGTGTTTGCAGATTGTCAATTGATTGAATCGCTCTGAAAACAAGTGACTGTATGTAAAAGTATGAGTTTACATCATCAGGAAAACATAAATAGAAACAATTGTGCAGTGATAGGAAGCTTACCTTTTTTACAACTCAAATGCAATCATTTCAATGCAGTCATTTTTACAGAATACACTCTTTAGATTGTGATTATATACAGTTCAGTGGGGGTGGGCCTTTAGCTTTTACACACAAATATCCATCAGAGGTGTAAAAGCTGACACCAGGAGATGTTAAATGTTTCAACAAAAACTGACAAACTTTAGCTCAGATTCTTTTTGTTTTGGTGACAAAGCTCAGTGTCCATATCCTGCTCAAACGTAAGCATTTCGTCCGTAAGTACTAGCAGCCACACTCCTGGTTGGTGCTGGTCCAGAGTATACCGTTCCCTTGGCTTGATAGGACAACGGGCTGCGAAACAAGAACAAACATGACGATGAAAAAACGTCTGTGAAACCAAAGCAGCTAAATGGTATTCATCAGCCATCATTAATTTGAACATTAACATTTGTACCTTGTGTGACATGTCAAAATGTCATCAGGGAAAACGATATATTCCAATATAAAATTAATAGAAGACTATGTTGAAATTCGGGCCGTCCTTGTGTCGTTTCCAGCCCATTTGTCCCCCCTTCCAATTTGTATTGTGCCTATAGTCCACTTCCGCTTTACCCAACTATTTTGTTATTGCATATTTGTATAGCCTCATTCATCTTGCACAACAAAAATATATGGTCATTAAAGTAGAGCCCAGATAACACTGTCCATTTGTGAGAAACAAAGATGGGCGGGCTCTAACAACACACCAGGTGATAATGTCCAATAAGACCTCCTTCTGACTTCCATAGAAGACGTTCTTCCTAAGGTGAATTCACAAAGGGTTGCCACAGCAAGGCGCCAGAGGGCCATGAATTTAACAAATATATATTCAAGAGGTTCTTTAGGTCCTCAAAACAAATGCATCACACATCATTATTTTTATATACAATATAAAACATCTGTAAAATGTAAAAATAACTTTTGTGCCAAGATACTAATAAATAAAAAAGGACTACAACTATTATTTTTTGTCTAAACTGTAATGGTACATTTATTTATAACAATATTTAAGCTTTTTTTAATTTTATGGTTGTATTGTATTTGATCAAATATAGTCATTTTAGGTAAGAATGGTTTTTTTTCTTGTACGGAGGAACAAGAGCGCAATGTAAATGGTTGAAAAGCAATGCGTACATTGTTACAAGTAATTAATTTACAGTAAATCCATCAATAAATAATAATAAGAAAAGTATGTCAATTATAATAATATGAAGTAAATGAACTCACTATTTTTCCTCTGTGCCCATTTGGCAGGAGCAAGTGAGACAGGCTCCTCCGGCGATGGCGAGCACGGCGGAGCACCATCCCATGTAGAGTCCTTCTCCTATTTCATACCTGCGACACACAACAGAGTGTCAGTCAGCTTCATATAAGACCTTTCATCATCAACCAACATCACCCCCACCTCCAACTTACTTTGTCCCGGCGTGCAGAGGGTTAAAGAACTCCTGTGTGATGTTGAAGGCATACCAGGACACTGCGATCAACGTGCACAGACCTTTTGATTAAAAAAAGAAGTAAATATTCTTTAATCATTGAGAACGAACCTGGGAAGCTTCCAGATACAGAAGTTCAAAGTCAGTCAAGAAAGGAGGAACAATCTAGGACTATTGATTTTGAAAAACAATAAAACACAATTTATTAGCATTATGAAGAAATTCCAATTTCTATAAGGTATTAGGAAGCCAAATAACATTGACTTAATTTCACCTGACCTAAAATAAACTTTTTTTTATGCATTTTGCTTATCTTTGTTACCTTGAAATATGAAAAGGACTCCAGCGGTGCCAGCAAGCCTCCCTTTGAGAACATAGTTTTCCCCCCCAGCCTTGGAGCACTGCACTCCTATCAGGGCTAGCAACAGTCCAAAGGTGCCACACACTATGGATGTGATCATCAACGCGCGGGACGCTTGGATGTAACCTGAAGAGCAGAAATAAGACCCCAAAAAAAACCCCATTAAATTCACACCATTTTAATTCTCATCTGCCTTGAAAGGGATAATTAAGTTATGGCCAGCAAAAAGGAAAGTTATAGCTTCAACAGAGCAAAAGTCCAAGGTGTTCAAGTACTCGTAAAACCTTGAAATTGAACTTTAACAGTTTTTTTCCCCGTGACAAATCATCATGTCATAAAACCACTGCTAACTTCTTGTTTCTTTACTTTCAATTATCTATAATGGATGTTTTGTGCGTTAAGATCCTAAATAGTGTTTTTTTTTAAAAAGTTTTTTGTTGGGTCAACATACCATTCAAAGCGAGCAGCGAGGGGAACTCCCTGCAGTTGTGGACCCCGGTTGAATCGCTGGCACATGACATCCACAGGTTCTCGTAGATGGTGGAGGTGGTGATGACGTTCCCGTCCACGGTGGAGGTCCTCCAGTACCGGTTGGGCAGCGTGATCCCAACCATCACCCAACCAATGAACCCCAAAATCAACGCCACTACTTCCACAATTGGATCCATGACCCCTCTTTGGTCCAGAAGTCACACAAAAAGTGTATCCAATGTGGTGATAAAAACGATTTTGGTGTGATTGAAAGGCAATGAGTGTGTGTGAGAGTGTGTCAATGGTGCCACTGGGAGATGTGTCCAGCTCCACAGATATGTATAATGATTTATCTGACTTGTTTTCTCTCCTCCCCCCTCCCCTCACACGCTCTCTCTCTCTCTCTCTCTCATGTATTTTACACCCCTGAAACTGAGCAGGTGTTTATCGCCTCACTCTCAGGGTCCAATGGTCATCAGTCGCACTTGATGGTGCGGCACGGTTCATGTTTATTAGCCATTTTCCACGTTTATTTTTCGTTGATGGTCAACCTCACATCTTTAGCATGTTTAAAACAACATTATTAACAGAACTTTTTAAACAAAGACAGTTGCACTTGTGGAAGTAGTACTCTTTTACCTAAGCAATACTACAGTGTAAGAGTATATATTAAAATAGAACTCATGTATGGAAAATCTTGCTTAAATTACAAAAATATAAGCTTCAAAATGTAGTAAAAGAACCAAAAGTAGAGTAAGTATAAGATTACAATTTGTTTTAATGGTATTTTAATGTTGCATCTGGTGAAGGTAGATCTCACTTTAATCACTCTGCAGTACAGCCTACTGATGGTTAGTATAACCTATAATAACAATTTATAAACTGATATATATGTTTTCAATAATCTGAATCTGCGAGAACATGCAAATACATCTGATATGTAGTAGAGTAGTCGTATAAAGTAGCATAACATGGAAATACCTTAAAAGTACTTTAAATGTGTGTAAAGTAATTAAGTAGGTGCACTATAACATTCCACCCAGGCGATTGCAACTTCAGTTTTATTGTTTTGGTTTTGAATCTCAAGGCCTTAAGACACAAGGTCACCATGGCTTAGCGCCACGCCCTAGATTTTGGAAAATTATCAACATGAAAGCAGTTAAGTTTGAGGCCCGAAGCTCGGATTACATCTCACTTACAAAGGTTCAAAGTTACCCAGTTTCTGTGATTTGTGTGTCTTCATTAATTGTCCTCCTGATAACTGCTGGGTCAGCGTTGCCAAATCCAGAGTGATAATATTAAGATATATCGTAGCCTGCATTTCAGCCCTGATGTGTCTAGAGATGGTGAGATTTGTGAACCTGGAAACCGATTGTGTATAAAGGTCAAGAAATAACGCTAAGTAATTCAGTTGATGAGAAATAGACCACCAGCAGGTTTCTGGAAGGAAGTGGGAGTTGAAGCCGTGGAAAAGGAACGTTTGTTTGTTTTGTTTGTTTGTGAAGTTAATGTTAAATCAAAGTCTATATTTTTACATGCTGAAACCAGGCTAGTGAAAAGGAAGCTGCTAAATGTCTTATTTTGTTATTAGCAAGAGATTTTTCATTGAGTTGACTGAATATTATTTTACTGACACCATGGACACTGTGAAGGTCTATTCAAACCTATTTATATATTTTAATTCCTACAGGATGGATATGTCACTTCAGAGTTTTCATTTGAACGAAGGTAAGTCTAAATCTAAACTCATGGGCCTTCCTCATCTACTTCACCTCCACCTGAACTCCTCTAAAGAAACAACAGGATCCTCGCCCACCATAAACATCTCATTTAACTTCCGAGCTGTTTGCAAAGCTCGCTTTACGGCTTTGTCTGTAATAACAAATGATTTAGTTTTTTTAAGGACACCTAGACAGAAAAATCTCCTCTTTGCTTGTGCTTGCTTGATTGCTTGATTGCTTGATTAACTTGTCACACAGCATCGAGGAAGAAGGCAGAGAAATATAGAAGTAATTAAAAGAATTATGTGGGTGCTGGTTTAATAACAAGAAAAGGAATATGAGCAACAATATAAGAACATAACAGTTAAGAGATAGAAGCAGTTGCTAATTAATGTATAACCCTATAACTCTAGTAAAAGGCTTTAAATCCTGAAATGTGCACTATGGTCAGTGTGTCGGCAGTTTTTAGTGGGAAAGCATCAACCCTTCTCTTGCGTTAGGTCATACCCCCCTTCCCATGCTATTTTCGGTCAAAATTGACCGGTGGGTTTTGCACAGTTATATCTCTGGAACCCCTTATCCAATTTTGATGGTTGACATCTCATTTGAACAGTCCAGGGATGACAGACAGAATGGCACCAGGGGGGAATTTCATATTATTTTTGGCAGTAAGTTCAAAGATAGTGCTTATTTTACATTACTGTATATTATAAAAATGCTTGCCATGTAGGCTGTGTTTATTGGAGATGGAAATGATTTAGTTAATGTTGTAGCTGAGAATCTTCCCGTTCCAATGATGTATGGGATGTATTGATTTGATACAAGCAGGTCAGTGTTTCATGCCATGGTCCGGACCCACCGGTGGGCCCATCAAGTTCAGCATTCACTGTGAAATATAAAATAAGACACTGATACTGTTTTCTTCAATGAACATTAATTGAAAGAGAAACATACCATAACAGAACATGTGTGTGTGTGTGTGTGTGTGTGTGTGTGTGTTCACGTGCGTTCACGTGTGTTCACGCAAATAGTTGGCAATGCAAAAATTGTGGAATGTCACCGCAGGCACCTCTCCCTCAGGGGCCTCTCCCTCAGGGGCCTCTCCCTCAGGGGCCTCTTCCTGGTCTGTTGTAGGCTCATAGTCTGGATCGCTGTTGTCTTCCATTTCTGAGACATCTTCCTCTATCTCCTCTTCATCTGGTTCAAAAAATGTGTCCAGAGCCTCTCGTACAGAAAATCGCCTAATCGGTCGCCTGCTCATTGTGTCAATGAGTCAAATGTGAGCAAGGCACAAATATAACTGCTTGAGTTGAGAGCCAGTAAGGGAGGCGTATTTAGCGTGAGAAAGTGAGAGGTTTGTGTTTCTCGAGGGGCACAGAGCTCGCACCTGTCAGAAGGTATGATACATTGTATCATACAGCGCGAGAAAGGGAGAAGTTCCCGTAACGTGTGTGTGTGTGTGTGTGTGTGTGTGTGTGTGTGTGTGTGTGTGTGTGTGTGTGTGTGTGTGTGTGTGTGTGTATAGATGTTTTCCATCTGCAGGATGAACATAATACACTCATACCCATTCAATTTCTACGGCGGTCAAATCTGACCGAAAACCTCATGGGTGTTTCACTGTTGAATAAATCACTCAAAATTCAATGCAAGTGGTGATCATCAAGTGTATATGTTCAGAGGCCTCGTGTGGAGGATAACATAAGAGGCAATTGGATGAAAAACACAATATGTATGTTTAAAATAAAAGTCATTCGGTCACTTTTGACCCGAAATGCAAGAGAAGGGTTAAAGAACATACGTATATTATCGATAAATAAATCCACATGCATATGACCATATAATAGGGTATTGTTACATAAAGGTTATTTTGTTGGAAATAAAGAGTAATACAAGTTAAAATGTGCTTTAAAAACACATGTTCATAAATAGACACATTACTATTAGCATGGGGTCCAACATGAACACATTTCTTAAGCCATTTTACATTTTTGGTTGTTTCAAACGAGAGATTTCTGGGAATTTCTGTGTTGTTTTCACTGGGCGGTCAGAAGTGGGTGGAGTTTATTTAAAAACAATGTAATGCATTATACTCCTTTCACCAATCATAATGCAGCAAGATTTGAATGATGACGGTTGCTGGGCAATTTATAACAGCAAGTAACTGTCAATCAAGTAAGGGATAATGTGCAGCGACCCGGTCATTATGGGGAAAAGAACATCCGACAGGCTGATCAGTAGCCCGACGCCAAGATTTTTTTTTTTTTTGCTTTTCGGCCAAAATGTATACAGTTAAACCGACCAAACTTCTTTCTGCAGAAGTAAGCATCCTTAACAACGGTCAATAAATCATTGACAGCGGTCTGTTCTGGATTAACAACGTGTCACGTGCTCAACTAAACCGTGTAATAAATCTGATTGAACCACCATCTTTTTTATACTAAAATGTGGTAACAGTCCTATTGTCTTTGTCTATCAAACTTCAAGAACACATAATAGCCTATTTTTTTCAAGTTCAAGTTTTATACTATCCCTATACATGGTTAGTTCTGTCGTCAATGGACTGCTCTTTAAACTATCCAAGAATACGATCAGCTCAATAAAAAGAAAGAAGGAAATAATAAAAAGCCATGAACCCATTAAACTTGAACTTCACATAAAATGATGAAAATGACTGTCGGCCTTTATGTCCGTCACTGCCTGCAGTAATATAAAGCGACAGACAATAAAGCGCTGGTTTCCTGGATTATACAGTAACAGTGTGTAACTGTGTGATGACATCCAAAGTAACAGTACAGGGTGTAGTTGAAAGAAGACACCGTGTTCCCAGACGTATTCCCCTTCTTTACGGTGATTACACATTAATATCTCTCAGCCTTGTGATGAACATTGGCCCTCATAACTCAAACTCACTGAAGCTGATGTGAATTACACCAGCTTTCAATGAATCATTGACGTTAAACTGTGTTAAATCAGCACAAGGGATGAGACATGGGACGATTACAGCTTTGGTTATTCTCTCCTCATCTATTTGGAAATTAGATTCATATTTGGGGACATTTACCCACCCTTTCCTCTTTTTGTTTACCCACCTCTTTCACACCAAAGAAGATTATTTGTATTCACTGATCTGCCCCTGGTGAGTTTCGGTCCTGTGGGGTTGGTTAATGAGTAACATCCCACAAGGTTGATAACACCCCACACAACTGATAACCTCCATAAGCCTTCCCGTCGTAAAACGGTGCCAGATGCTCAAATCTATACGGGGTTCAACATGTGAAGATGATCAGCAGCGAGTGAACAAGGCCGGCACGTTTTCTGCTTGAACATGTACGACCTATCTTACCCGTAAAGACAGTGTACACCAAAAACTCATTGTGATTTGAGTAGAGAATAAATAACAGTAATAAAAAAGGATTGGACTTTGTTTCTTCATTAATACATTCTTCTGAAAATGACTAATACATCGATCCCATAAATGAAAAAAACTGTTTCGTAACAGTTAAAGGGGCCCCATTACGCTCATTCCAGGTCCATAGTTGTATTTATTGCCTCTATTGGGACATGTCTCCATGCTTTAATGTTCAAAAAGCTCTTTATTTTCCTCATACTTGTGCTGCAGCACCTCTTTTCACCCTCTGTCTGAAACCAGAGCCCAGTCTGCTCTGATTGGTTAGCTGGCCGGCTCTGTTGTGATTGGTCAACCACTTAGAGATGTCCCGCCCCTTAGACTAATGTCATGTTCAGCTCCTGGAATGGTAAATAATCATATCACCGACATACAAGATAATTAATAGTAATAAAAAGACTAAAAGATAAAAAAGTTGTAAAAAAACAAGCATCTTATCAAGCTACCATATGTCAATGTGCCAAATGTCCCTTGTACCCTTCACTGCATTACACATATTTAAAAGACATTGTGACATATTTGACAGATATTTGACTTTGTATATGATGCTTTGTTATTGAGCCAACGCTCCCAGATTATATACTTTTGTGCTGAAACACTTGGCATCTATTTTGATCGAATCGTTCATGAATGAATGCTAGACAGCAAAGTGATGTATGCAGGGTTCCTGCAGGTTTCTCCAACTCAAATTTAAGACTTTTTAAGACCTTTTTAAGACCACTTTGAATAGAATTTAAGACCTATTTCACGGCAAGAAAGTATGAAGGAAAATTGCTATGAAAGAAGAAATACGTCCCATAATTACTTACAAAATAAATGTATTAATGTTCAACATAAGAACAATGACTGAACATAACAGCATAACAGTACAGAACTGTGTTAGCCAAAAAGTGTGTGTGTGTGTCTCTGTGTGCTTGTGTGTGTTCGGGCTGTGCAATTAATCGTATTTTAATCGCGACTACGATTTTGGCCTGCCACAATTACAAAAACAACATAATCGAAAAAAACAATTATTTAGCTTTGCTAGGTTGTGACAGTGACAACATATTTGATCTAATTAATTTGAGTCTAATTTATATTTATTTATCATATTTATGTTTAGTAGCTTGTGGAAGTGCGCTCCAAAATATTTATTGATCTTGTTTATTGGTATTTATTATTTTGATATTATTTATTTAAATATATAATTTATTTAATTTATTTTTGTATTGCTTTTACAGTTGAATTATACGTTCAGGGTAATCAACAGTTAAAAAGATAATGTTCAAATTATTATTTGTTTTAAAGTTCAATAATTGTCAATGAAGTCAATGAATAATCCTATTTAATAATCGTGATATCAATTATTGACCAAAAATAATCGTGATTATGATTTTTGCCATAATCGTGCAGCCCTAGTGTGTGTGTGTGTGTGTGTGTGTGTGTGTGTGTGTGTGTGTTGTGTGTGTGTGTGTGTGCTGTGTGTGTGTGTGTGTGTGTGTGTGTGTGTGTGTTGCTTGTCAAGCTCCGTATTGTTTTGCGGTGCTGTCGATGTCATTGCCCTGTCTCCAGGTGTTGTTGCCGTGTTCTGTTTCACTATCTTTATACAAGATCAGATGTACCCAGGACTGTTTTTCCAACTCGGACCTTTACAGCTCCACCATTGTTTGGTTTGCAATGGTAACACGTTCTTTAGTAGCGCGCGCATTGAAAAAGTCTGAGAAGGGTGAGGCAAATCAGTCAACACAGAAAACAAGAATCGAAAACATACTCTACTCCTGCCTCACTCTGCTCCTTTTACCAGCCACACATATGCTCCATCAAAGCGATGGTTGCTACAGGCCGCAAGGCATTGCACTTTACAACTACAATAAAGCATGTTAATGTTAATCTAACAGCTCCGGCGATCCACGTACAGACGCCCCCCCCCCTATTTGCATTTTGAAATGCCCGATTACTGAGGTCTCAAGGTTGGCAAGTTGGTGTGTGTGTGAGAGGGAGAGAGTAAACAAGAACTATTTCAGAGCTCTGATGCCTGTGCTATCAATCTTTCATATCATTGCTGGCTCTTTATGATGTGGGGACTGTTTTAACCCGGTATTTAGCAGTCCACCAGACACCTCCGCTTTAGCGTTGACGTTAGACCAAACGTCGCCCGGAGACCCCCACCCCCCGGTCCGCTTGCTCGCGGGAGCTGCTGCACTAGCCTAACGCTAACTAATAATGCTCCTTAGCAAAACAAAGGCTGACTTTATTTTGCAAGGTGCAGCGGGCCTCAAACACGTTCCCCCTCCACTGGTTTCCAACCAAGCATAATTCGATGTTTTCCAACAAATACGGTTGAACTTAGCACTTCCCGCTATTTATTGTAAGTAGTTCGAAAGAGACATGCGTTCTGAGCTGCCGCTAGCTTGAAGCTTGGTTGGCTAGGTTACAGGCCTGGGTTTCTCCGATAAGGGGCCCGGGGGGAAACAAAGTTAGTGATTACCTGGTTCCCATGTGATTTTTCAATACAAATTTGTTGGGGGGAAAACTGAAAGGCTCTTACTGTACAGGTTAGCTTTGCAGCCCGGAGCCTTTTCCCCAAAAACACATTTTAGACCTGATCGCAAACAACCAGAAGTACCGGTTCAAATCCGAACTCATTTTTAAGACTTCTAAATCAATATTTAAACACGCTTTTATGTTTTGGTCATATTTAACGACCTTTTTAAGGCCTTAAAATGCAGATATCAAATTAAGACTTTTAAGAATTTTTAAGAGCCCGCGGGAACCCTGAGTTACGGCATTTCTCCCGTTTCTGGCGGAGAGAGTGGAGTTTGTCCGCAAAGCTGGCGCGCTTGTATTTACCTCCCTCGCATCTGAGAGGAGGGAGGGGGCCTCGTTGAGGCTGGCGAAGTAATTCACTCACCGAGTTCACTCGCGTCAGCGGAGAGTGTGTAGGGGTAGGGGGCATGGTTTGGGATTGGGCCCCGTGGCGTGAGCCGCGTCTAAAACCTGGGTTGCGCACGGGTTCCCTCGGCAAAAAAACAGATGAGAATTCTCCAATAGGATTTTTGAAAAAAAAAAATAGCTCGAAATAAGGTCGTGTAAAACCGTTTTCTGTTCAAGGTCTCCGGATAATATCCACTTCTACCCTACTTTTATAATTTTTTGAATCATAATCTATCAATTAAAATGTATGAATCGACTTTTCAAACTAGAGGAAGATAAGGAGGACTTTCTAACAAAAAGTGAATAGAGAAAATTTTTTTTTGTCCAGAAGGATAGGCAACATGGGTTTCATCTCAAGTCAAGGTAAAGACCGCAATTTATGAAAATGGGATCTTACTAAGAAGAGACCAAT